GTTTACGGACTACGGCTGATTGAAGTTTTCTTTCATAAAATTAATCGATTCTAGACTAATCCGACTCAACATTTCCAAAATACGTATATTTTTTTTTTTTTTGGAAATAATCCGTATAAACTACGCTATAAACAAAAAATTGTAGGATTACTTACCGAGTGTGCACTATTCGACATCGCCATTGCTAAAGCTTGTTTTCGTCGCGGAACAGCTCAGCAAATAGCAGCCGATTTCTAACAACTTATTTTTCTGTGAAAACTTCGTAGAACTTTGGAGACATCATTAATATAAATAATTTTAATCGCCGTTGAATAAGAAATGTTTCTTTCACAAGAAATGTATAAAATTACAGTACTGTATTAGACTTACGGTACCTAATTTACATACTGTACAGACGATAGTTAGCGTAAAATCTCCGTAGCGTGGCGCCACGCTAGACGGCGGAAATTATATATTTAATTATAATAAAGTTACAATAAGTTAATATATAATTATATATACTTAATATATAATTATATGTACAGAACCTAATTTATATATAATACTGTACAGACGATAGTAATCTCTTTGTAGCGTGGCGCTACGGACGGCGGGAAAGTAGTTCGGCTGCCCGATGACGTTTTACGTAATTATAAAAGTTTTTTACGGGTTTTTACGGATACCGTCGCAATTTTTTTGCAGTTTTATAGGAATCGTAATTATAGGGACCGTAATTATAGGGGGTCTACTGTACTGTACTTTGTCATAGGTTTGCACTTCACTAACCGGCTAGTAACCTGGTTGTTTTACAGTTTTAATGAATTTAATCACGCGGAAATAGGTGCCAATTTTCTTTTGGCAGATCGTCCATTTCTTGCTTCGATGTATCCTGTCTTCATCAAAACCTCACCTTAAGACCAAACGACTTGATCTATTTCATACAAATCAAACTACATCATTGGTTTGCTCACTCGGTTGCTTGTAGGAGCAGCCTAAACTTCATAAGTACCCTAAATTTTTGAGCGGAGCTCTTTATAAGCCACAAAGTGTTATGTCTGTGATCGCAGTTTAAAGCAACCGCTCGACTATTAAAACATGATTTTTTCAAAGGGCAAAACGAAAGCAAGATTTTTCAAATTCGATTTCGGCTAAAATATCCGAGGCCAGATTTCGCCATAAAACTGAAAAAAAAATTTTATGGGAAAACCCGCGTGAACTTTGACCTATCGACCCGGAAGTTTCGCCAGCACCTCACTGATAACGAGTAATGTATAAGTTTAAATTTTGAGCTTTCTAGAGCCATTAGTTTTTTTCTCTACGAGTGTCTGCAGTGCCAGATGGAATAAGAAGAGGAAAATACAGCTTTTTAATTGCTTATATTTCTGCAACCGCTTTATAGAAAATCTTGAAATTTTGCACACAATGTAAGAAAGCAATTATCTTTTAAAAAGAGTTATTCGGAAATAGTTTAAATGTTTGGTGGCGGAGATATCGACTCCGAAAGTCGGCAACTGTGATTCCTGTATACAAAGCCAGGAAGTGAGTTTTTTACTTGGCGTGGACTCACTGCCGTGACTGTTAATTTATTAGTTAATGATGATAAAGAAAATTATACGAATCTATATTTTAGCTTAAATTTTAATCTATATTTCTAAAATAATTTAACACAGGAAGTTTTTATTACAGTCAATTCGTAATTACCTGGCAAAACATCTTCCTTCCTCCACAACCATACTAGTCCCATAATTTTGTTCTTAATAACTTTTTTCTTCACCAAAAGTTGGAAAAAACTTTAAAATATAAGTAATAATTTAAATGTTTTACATTTTATTTTAGTATTTTACACTAAATTAAATTTTAAATAATTCTATGTTTTTATAGCTATATATTATATACAGTCGACCCCCCTATAGCACTGTTGACTATTCCGTATTATATGAATTCCATGTTGTACGAGTCACTTAGATTTTACAAATACGTGAGCCGTTCACAGCCCGGCACACGTATTTGTAAAATCTAAGTGACTCGTACAACATGGAATTCATATAAAACGGAATAATCAACAGTGTTATAGGGGGTCGGCTGTATTTAAGTTACACACTATAGCGTATTCGTAATAACACTGCTTTAAATAATAATACATGTAAGCAATGATATACTTATCATTATAGTTATGACGATACTAGTGTCTTTGATACAGTAATAAAGTACAGGTATCCCTCGACAATTTGAGAAATACACAGTACGAAATGTATTATAATAAGAAATTTTAATCTACTAAAATGTAAAAGTTTAACATGTACAAGCTGAAATAACGTATCAGATTTTTTAAATTGCAAAGAGTGTAGAAATCGCAATCAATTCTCCGCAATGGAGTCTATATAGAAAACAACTTAAATATAATACTTACGTACTTATAGTACTTAGTATTCGGGATTAAACACAGATAAATAGATCATTAAAATCTTAAAAGAGAAAGAAAATAGTCTTGATACAGTAAACATTATACAACAATAGCTAGTAGTGAAATTATGATACGCACCAGTAACTTCTAACGAAAATATGTAAATTAAATAGAGAGTAATGTTTATTCCTAATCAATACAATGGTTGTCTGGGTGATCATGAAAGTATTTAACGTTATTTGTTCCGAACCATTCAATAAAATTGTAAAATTATTCCTTACAACTCGATATATTGTTAATCAATATGTATATAACACTCGGGTATTTTTTATATTTATAAATTTAATAACTGTTTTATTTTATTTAAACAGTACAGGACTTTATATATATACAAAGATGTAAAACGTATATACTTTTGCAAGCTTTCAAATGTTTTATATTGAAAATTAGATTAAACAGTTTAAGGCACGACTCTATTGCTGACAGGAAAAGAATGATGTACAGGGGCAAGACACTGCTTATTTGAAGTGGATAGCATATATTTTAAATGAAATAAATTAAAAATATGAGTGATAATAAGTTGAAATATAACGAGCAATTGTTTATTTTGGTATGGTTACAATGCCAAGCAACAGTTTTTAACCTTTTAAATTTAAAAAAAAAAAAAAAAAACCAAACACGCGACATCCCATTAATTAGAGTCTCCAGCCACTAGCGTTTCATACCTGGTATCGATTTTCATCTGTCTAAATCCATTCTCCAGATTAACGAATGTATCCCAGGTAACGGAGTGACGTGTTATCCACGTAGATTTCTACTAGTTACGCACGAAGAACACTCTTGTGGATTACACTAAGTAATTTTCTCTCGTTAAACGGCTATTTTAGTTGCCGTAAACGTCTGTCTCTTTAATCCGAATAAAAATAATTTCGCTTGACTATCACGTTTACTAATGTTATTCTTTAGAAGTTCTTCAGGACTTCTTTTTCTATGTGAAGTGTTTTGCATTTGTCTAGGCCAAACTCCATTAGGGTTTCCGACCACTAGCATTTTAATATCTGGTATCGTCAGGTTATTATGGATTTCTAATGGAAATATAACAAAAGAAATACCTAACCTGATGGCTGTGTGATAGTCTACCGAAATCAATGTACACACGTGTGTACATTGATTTTCGTAAACGTCTGTCTCTTTAATAAACGCTATATATTTTCATCTGTCCTTTATATCGTGAATGGCTAAAGAAATATATAAAACAGTTACCATATTTGATATTTGCAAGGCTATTTTAGTGTATTACGAAATTCAATGCATCTGTATATATACATAAACCGTTTATTAAAGGGAGCGTGGATTCTTGGCTTTTAACAAAAGATACGTAAACATAAACAGTTCTAAGAACCAAATTTGTGAGAAGTTGTTAATGAAAGTGTTAAAAAAAACTGGTAAGATTCAAGCCCCGAATGAGGGTTTTTTGATCCCCGGATTGTAGACCCCTTGTACAAGAGAAAAGTCAAAGAAACCATACATATAAATGCCACCGTTGGCGAGTTAATTTTAGCTTTTATATCGTGGCTAGCGATTCAGAATGTAATTGTGATACTAAGTATACATTTAGAGAAGTCTGCGGCTTTTAGTGGCTTATTGAACAAACGAATACGAATAGACCCTAGACCATCTCTGACGCGCAATTAATTGATTGCCTCAGGAAGTCGGCTTCTTACAGAAACACAGCTTCCTTATCATCAAATGTCATGGCACGCCACTAGTATCAAAGTATCTGTCCGTAAATTGGGATAGAAAGTCAAGTTGATCAAGTCGTAAACCGTGATCCAAGTTCAGTGGATTAAGTGGTAGCCGGGTAAAAGTGTCATATTCGGGTGAAAGGTAACTTTGTTGCTGTGTCACATTCGGTAAAATGGACTCGGCAGAAAGAAGATTATTTTTTCCAGCAACAAAACAACCTTTTCCACCAAGACCTTATACGCTCGACGGATTCTTCCACGATTTCTTCGGATTTCATTCTGTTCTTTGGAGTATCGCCGCTCCAGATAATGGACGAAAGACGAGGACCACCCGTTCCACGTCGGGTGTATGCGACTCTTCCTCCGCATCTTTCGGAAGCACCATAAACAGGTAGCGGCACGATCCACTTCGAATTAACGAGTCTACTCTACAACGTTATTATACAACATTATAGAATGTTAGCTTAAAAATTTAAATTATAGTTTATTCTATTAAGAATTTGAACCTGATAATTTTTATTTATAAAGAATGTTAAAATAGTTTAATTTATATTAATTAATAAAAATCTACTATATCTATTAGCCATCAGAGGGCAGTTTTAAAAGTAATAAAAAAATTTACTTTAAAACTTTTAATTAAAAATATTTATAAGTATTAATAATAATTTTTCTTCGCCATTTTTAAAACTTTGTATTATTTACGTTTCATATTTATAAACACACCAATTTTTTAGTTTAATATTGGCCCTCTAGTGGTGAGGTATGGTTTATTTTTATTACAGTTAGCGCTAACCGCTAATATTATGTTTATCAACAAATTTTACTAACCGTTTAATAATTGTTAAATTTGTATGGTATTATTACAAATCTCGTTAATTAAGTATCGAATTGATAAATAAGGAGTTGTTTTGTTTATAAACAAATTTAAACGATTAATTTCCAGGTTCCAGTTTTAATTTAGTAGCGATTCATAGAGGGCGTAAATGTAGCTAGAAGATCGATGTTTTTGAATTTTGACCACGCTGCGGGAAGAATTACCAAGCTGCATTTGTGACGTATTTAATTATTATTAAGTAAAATATTCGGAAAATGTCAAAATTAGGTCCCTGGTGTGCTGTTTCTCATTGCTATAATAGACGGGGAAATCCTCCAGGCATGCACTTCTTCCATTTTCCAAGAGATCCACAAAGGTAAGTTTTGCCATTGTTTTCACTGTTATAACCTTAATACAGAGCTTCTATAACGAAGTTGCTTGCTATAAGGCTTATAGGCCATGTCTACATGCCAAAAACTTGATACAATTACACACCTGTGAAAGATGATTGGGATATTATTAGAGCTGTAGACTATTCATAGGAGGAAAAAAGTTAAAGGAACCATATCTCTACATGCAACTCTTTGCTAGTTATGCTTCCTCAAAATTGGCCTACTTCAAAGTCGCATTGTTCCACCACATTAACTATTCGGCCCATATGACTGCTGGCTTTCGGCAGCCCACTTGGTGTTATGTACTCTTGGGGGGTGCGGGGTTTGCACCCGTATGTGTGCTGAGGTGAGAGCATCGAAGTGCATGACTACGTGTGGAGCATCAGTTGAGGCAAGTGATAGCCAGCCTTGACCGACATGGACTGTGAAGAATGAGAAGTATACTGATACCTATGGAAGTAAATATCTCGTGAAGGGTTGTACGTACAGGTATGCTTCGTTTGGCCGTTTTTGCTTGTACGGGGGTCTACAATTCTTGGGAGTGGGAAACCCCTTATTCAGTTTACATCTTACCAAAGAGTTTAAAAGAATCATAGATCCAGATGTAATCATTTATCTCTTGCTAATCAGCCCACCAATTAAGTGGATGAAACTACTGAACAGGTCGTGGGTTTGTATCTCGTCAGTGGGCTGGCCACATGGAGTTATCTGGGATATCTTCACATATTTAACACTTTAATAGGGCCCAGTTACTATAAAAGTCTTGGAATGCATCTTCATTGGCATATTACCCATATATTGTGTTGCCTTATACTGTCGATCCAACCCATTCTTGCTAATCTGACTTTTCAGTTGTCTAGCTTACCTCTCAGTGTGTTTGCCTGTAAGCTTCTCTTTCTGTGAAAATGTTTGTTATGTCACATGCATGCTGTTTTTGTGTTTGTGTGGCCACCAATCAAGTGTCTTATTCATTTCATTTCTTTATATTGCATAATATTTTGAATGAAGAATTAAAGTTACAGTTACTGTGTCATTGTACATAATTTCACAGTAACAAATTACAGTTCTCAAAAGAATCAGTTTTGAATTGTTATAGGTCATGCCGTTCATTGCCTTTAGACAGGCTAAAGGTATATATGCATTTAGTTATTCAGCATTTTTGTTAATTTGGCTCCACTCTTTGAAATGATTGGCTGAATTAGCAAGAGTCTAATATATTTAAAAAGCTTTGTGGATCTGGCAGAATAGGTATGACTGCAAGACCGTGAATGCATATTTATGACCCACTATCAGGAATTGGTTTTTTTATTGCTGTTATAGTGCTAGGATTATAGGACATTTGAACACAAGCAAAAATTTAAAAGAAGTATTAAACTACGAGTGACTATCATTAAATAAGCTTCCTGCAATGTTGAATGATATGTAAAACAGTTAAAAATTTAAATGTAAATTTTAAGCTTTTACTGTTACTATTTTCTTCATTACAAGAGGGATGATATGAAATATATTATTGTCCTGTATAAGGTTGCTCTGTATTGAATAAAATTAATTGCATCATTTATTAAATACACAGTGTATAAACTTCAACAAGATTCCTCTTAATGAACAAATGAGATGAACCTTTAAAAAATAAAACTGATATATAGATTTTGTTGGACAAACTTGGTGGAATATAAGGAAAATTTTGACAGTTACATTCTATGACTAATTGCTTCTTTGACTTGAAATGTGGGTTCTTTTACTTTAATTTTGCTCACATAACGATGTCAGTCCTAGCAGTGTGTCAATGGTTCCAAAAAATAAATAAATGTTGCCAAAATGACCCATACATTAGAATAACAGAGAATCAAAGTTCAAAATAATGAATTGTATAATTAAATAAGAAAGGTAGCACAGATAGCTGTCATGATTATTAAAAGTACATTGCCATGGTGGCCAAACTGTGGCTTTTGAGCTGCTTGCAGCTCTTCTAGATCTTTACTGTGGTCCCCCATGTAAATTACATACATATGACTTACATGAAATACAGTTTCAATAAGAATGAGGCTCATATTTGTGATAGAGCAATATATGGCTAATTTGGATCTTCCAGAGCAGAATGCTGATGGCTACCTCGGCCATTTGGCAGGCAATTTTATGATTTAGATGGACCTCAAATATTCAGTGTTATTGAGATATTATGCAATAATCCAATTCTTAATTGTATTGTAGAAAAATACACAAAAAATCATTTTTTTTCCTATATGACTTTCTGATAAATTAAAAAAATGTATGTTTAATACAGTAGAGTCTCGAAAACTCGGCACTCGATAACCTGGCAGGGCAAAAAAATCCTTAGTTAATTAATTTTCATTATAGACAGCTTTATGCTTGAAGTATTTTTCTGAGGTCTGTCTTATCAGGTAAATTACTGTACACAGTGTATTCATTAATTTTCATTTTCATGTAGTAAAGGCTCTATGCCTTCATAAAAGACGTACTTTTCCTTTGTTTAAGGGTATTTGAGCAGTTTATTCTCTGTTGTATTCTCAAGTAAACAATACATACAAGTACAGTACAGTATTTTCTGAGGAAACACTCATGCTTATTTTTTTTAACCCCATTCCCGATAACCTGGCATTTTCACAAACTTGGCCACCCTTCGGTCCACATTAGGCCGAGTTTTCGAGACTCTACTGTATATGATTGCACTTAGATCCAATTTTTTTTTGTTTGATTTTGGTAGGATTGGCTTATAATTGTCTTGGCAGAAATACAGTTAGGCTGCTTCCAAATATTTCATTTATGCAAATCCTTTGATTATTAATTATTATTATTTATGTGTATACATCATAATTTTTTTCAGATGTCACTTATGGATAGAGAAATGCCAACGGCATGACTTGAAAGATAAAGAAGTAGCAAAAATTAGCAATAATTATGTCTTGTGTGAGCAACATTTTGCAATGGATGCATTCGTAAATCCAAATCATATAAGATTAAACGGAAAAGCTGTCCCTTCCATCTTTGACACACATGTCAGTAAGTAATTATGTACTTTTTTGTTTACTGTTCTATTAAATTTAGGTATATATGCTTGTTTGTTGTTGTTTTTAGTTTTACTCTTTCTCTTTATCAGCTCTCAGAGGGCCTTTTTATCAAGCACATTGTTGATATGACCAAGCCCACAATGGGATGGCCAGGTAGGGAGGAGGCATTACCCAACATATCTGGGAAAATTTTTGTGGTATTTTCACATGACTGTATATTGTTATAAAGCACAAGCAATTTACATTATATGTTTATTTGGTAAGCTTGGTCACTGATGGGAATTAGTCTGGTATTTACCAAATAAATTTGGTGCACCAGCAACTATGTGGATATAATCACTGAACACTAGTAATTGGTTATGAGTGTGTGCCTAATCAATGGACACTTTTCTGGGTTTTCTTCACATTTGTAATATCTAAATAGGAGCCGGGTTCCATAGAGAATCATTCTTGTCATCCTTTCTCAGTGCATTACCCATGTTTCTTAACAAATCATTTTTCTTATAGCTATTGATAAAAACAAGAATGACTCGGAACAGACAGTTTTAAACAGAGACAGAGGGATGGAAATTATTATTCCTGATGAAGATAATAAGTATAGCCTCAGCCATCAGTTAGGATTTGAGATTGGCAAAACTGTCCTTGAAGTTGAATATGACGAATATAACAGTTTTCACGTCGAAGAAGATATATTGGTAAGTGCAATACAGTGACTATAATTAATAGAAATGGTTTAACTAAATACACTCCAAACAAACTAGTTAGAAATGGTTTATTTATTATATCTGTAAAAATGCTTATATTTAATAACATAATATTTATACAGACACATTAAATTGTCAATTTATTCAAGATAATAAAATGGGAAGTTTATTTACGAGTAGACTTGAGAATTCCCTGAACCAGTTGCGCTATTTACAAACCTGCTATTTGTTGCAAGAAACAAATCTTTATAAGTGTTGATTCATAGAAAGTAGAAGGATACTTATCCCCCAATATTTTTGTACCAGTAACTTGTCCCTCCTCTTGATTTATTTGTATTTTATTCCATAATATGAAAATCAGGAATGAAAACAAGTATGCTGTACACAACAGTATACTTATTTCTTCATATCCACTCAAAATCTGACAGTTAGAAGTTTTTTTTAACTCATTGTCATTGCCTGATCCCCAGTGTATTGGAGGGTCAGGCAATTGATTGATAAACAGATTGATGCTGATATAAATCTTGAACATTCATGGGCTCGAGAAATATTTGAAACTCTTCTTTGGTATTGCCTGTATTCTGTATTTTTATTAGTAGTATAATAGCATTTATTCTGGATGACCCTGTAACTATAAATTCCTTTTTATAAATCACATTTCATTTTTTAAAATAGGCTAATGATTTTAGATACTTGGAATGGAATATAATTCATGTACAATTTACCGGTTCAGCTAATTAAATAAAAGTAGTATAGTATTGACAGACTCTGGGATAATTTGGTAAAAGTTTAACACTTTATAACTTTTATTCCAGAGTCTGTCACCTTTTCGAGGAAAGATATTGAGCTGGGGCAAAGTCTTGCTGAAATCATGCAGAAAAGTATATCTGAAGGGGGCATCAAAAAAGGGTGTTGTTTTGGGGTACGTGAGAGTTTCTGGAATACAAAATATCCCAGAAATGGTTGATCAAAATTGGAATTATGCCAGAAACCGTCACATTTTTGCCCCTGCTCGATGTCTTTCCCTCAAAAAGGTGACAGTTTGGAATAAAAGTTATAAACTGTTAAACTTTTACAAAATTATTCCAGAGTCTGTCAATCCTATACTACTATTATTTAATTAGCTGAACCGGTAAATTGTACATGAATTATATTCCATTCCAAGTGTTGAAAATCATTAGCCTATTTTAAAAAATGAAATGCGATTTATATTTCTGTAATACGCTTCGTGTCTAGTCTTGTGTTCAGTTACACTAGTTCTATGACGGATTTTCCTTTCTTGCTAGACTTATTACACCATCAGTCAGAAGGAGGACAAACTGTAGAAAATCATATCTTTATTTCCCTGAGTATGCATTTTGGACATTAAGTCTCTTTTCAACTTCATGTGATATAAATGATTATGAGAATAATCTTTATATTATGTGGAGTTGAAAAGGGAATGTCTGAAATGCATACTCAGGGAAATAGGGCCTACCAGTGGCCAAGCGGTCTTTGTATCATGAACACTGGGAGTTCAGTTGTGGGTTCACGCCTCACTTGGACGGGCTGGCCACATGGAGTTTTCTGGGTTTTCTTTGCATCTGTAACTCCTAAATAAGGGCCATTTTCCCTTAAAAGACCTCCCGGGAGGCAAATCCCTAGGCAAATTGCCCAAGTGTTGCATTGCCATAAGTAAAAACACAAACATACTCAGGGAAATAAATATATGATTTTCTAAAGTTTGTCCTCTTTCTGACTGATGGTGTAATAAGTCTAGCAATAAAAGGAAAAGTCGTCATAGAGTTAGTATAATTGAAGGAATTTATAGTTACAGGGTCATCCAGAATAAATGCCACCATTTTAACTTACTGTAAAAATGTTAATTATTCGGAAGTATGGGACATACACCAATCAATAGAGTAACTGTCTTAGTTTTATCTCCCATCTGCATTCATACGTCTTGTTGTCTACTACCACTACAAAGTACCATAAACAAAAATAATGACACTGCAATACAGAGGGCATTTTGCAGTTTGCAAAGTTGGGATCACTCATTATTGTACGACATAAGTAATCTGAAGGTACCTTAGAATCGTGGCTGCCTTGGAGGAGTGATGATGGATATGCTGCAGTAAGTGTAGGAAGAATTTGATTATTGATTGGACGTGTACCCTGTGACTTGAGCTGCATGCATTATAAAATTGTAATAGATAAATTTGAAACTTGAACAATTTTCCATTGTTTTCATGTACCGTTTTAAGTACATGACTGAAGTTTTGGACAATAATTAATATACAATAATATAAAATGGTAGCATTCTTTCTGTATTTTTGTGTATTTTATAAGGAATTTTTGTTTAGATCCACCCGTTTTATTTTCGTGTCAATTTGATTTATAATATATTTTTTTTTTATAGAACTGCAAGATTAAAACTGAGCCGTCGTTCGGTCATGAAGAAGAAGAAATTAAAATGTCTCCAAATCACATTTGTAATACAGAATATTTAAATAACAAAGATTTGAGACATATACAAAAGGTAAGAATTCTGTATCAACATCTGTCTAAATAATTTATATTTGTTTCTGGTTGCGTTATTTGCTCGTTTGATAAAATTTCTATGCATGAAATATAATATAAATTAATATACATAAATATAACACTCAATTAATTAAGTAAAATTATGTTTCTGGAAACTGACTTTTAATAGATAAAATCCATATTAAATATTGACGTTTAAGATTAATATGGAAATTTAAAAAAATAAATTTTCAAGTGAGAAAATTAGCTGATAATTAGAAACATATGTACATTTCTATGTAAATATTGTCTACTTGTGCCTTATTTATTAATAGGACTTATACTAGTGTAGTTTTTGATATTAAAGAGAGGAGATCTTACTCAAAAGTCAAAACTGACATGTTTTTGCTCTTGGCTGGTTATTATTGATTCATCCTTACATATGTATATTTTTGTATGAACCTGATCTATTGTATTTTACAGAAAATTTGCAACTCAAGCCCTCAAATTTCTTTTAAATGACCATAAAGTTCATTTTAGTGGTGTTGCTGCCTACTTACAAATCCACTAACGAAAATTGCCGCATGTTTAACTTCATGTTCAGTTACTTCCATTTACGAAATAGTAAATTAATAAAACAGTTTAATTGATAAGAACACATTTAATCTAACTACTGTTAAATTAAATGTGTTCTGTGAACACTATTTAATTGGTGTCGTTTCAATTGAATACCAGTAATCTACTTTATTTTCTGCATCTGATGCAAAACCTAATTATGTGAATATTTCAAAAGTATGAAATGTCTTATTAATATTATTTTCCATCTACTTTCAATGTTTGAAATGTACGTAATGCCTCTTGAAATATATTACTTTAAACTATCTTGTTGCTGATTACCCTGCTAAGAATTACTTTCTTCATTGTTGAGCGAAATTCTTTAACCTTTGTGAATATTTCTGTGAAATGACGGCACAAAGATGTGTAAATAAAATAAAATTCATTTTGTGGAGTGCGAATCAAAAGAAAACAAACTAAAAATTTGTTGATTCCACAGCGAAAACAATTATTCAGTGTATCTAATCATTGACTAACAAAACTGCATGTAGTTTTCAATCCTATTTGATGATTCTATTGGATGGATTTATTTATTTTTTTCTGGATTTTCCTCAAGGAAAACTAATTCTGGCTCTCTGGATTTCGTTTTATGGTTCATTTTTATGAAATTTTAAGCAGAGATATTCAGCCATTGCATGGGTGAAAAATATTAAGAACAAACACTAAAATTAAAACCACATTACAAGTTTGGTTATTTTAGCTTGGGCAATGACAGGTTCATCTGCTAGTTTTAAATAATAAACACTAGAACACTGTAAGAGCATTAAATAATTCAAATGATAAAAATTTTATGAGTACTTTTGTATTTATAATGATTAACTGAAGAGAACCATGGAATAAATTACTAAAATGTTTGTCAGCCAATTTATCAGAAAGAAAGTAGAGTGCAATAATACTGAACAAACTTCAAACAAGCAGATTAATTACCAAAATATCGAAATTATGATAAAGTATATTTCTTTATCATAATTTGAATACTTTGAACAAGATATATTGAGTTTAAACAACAAATATTTGAACTATTGCATAAATGAATGTATTTCTTCATGATTAAAGATGGCACAGCTCCATTGAAATATACACAAAAAATAACAGTTATCTACAATTTTTCTTTATCTTCTGTTTAATTCTTGTCAAATAAATACTTTTGTTCTGTGTTGTTATAGTTATATTTTGCCATTGTAATAACATATAAATTAATTGTTTATTGTTGTATTTGACTGGAGAGAATTTACTGTGATTTACAAGCTACCTTATGATTTTTGTTTTCCTATTACATAATGCATACAGAGACAACAGACATCCTTATTTCACAGTATCCATGTGATATGAATGCCACATTTGCATGTAAAACCATAAAGTTTTAACTTGGTTGGTTACTAAATCTATGAATTCTACTATCTTGGTCTGTAGAACATTGACCCACTATGTACACAAATGAAATGTGTGGTGTTGTATATCATATAAACTGTACAGGTAATGATAAGAATAAAAAATTTCATATAGGTGAAACCAAACGACAATTAAAATTAAAAATTAAAGAACAAGAAGCCGTTGTTAGGTTAAGTAATTTGGCTGAAACACATATTGGAAAAAGATGTATGTTATTGAGTAAAACATCCTTCTAAAAGCAATAATTGTCCACTAAGGTCTTGATAGTAAACGATTAATGACTACATTGAGATCATCCTGTAAACTCAACCACACTATTTTTGTGTTTATATGAATTATCTATATATTATGTTTATTGTAATTGAAAACCTTGAGGCAAGAACATGTTAACTCAGTTTCTTTGTTGAACATTGTTGAATTTCTATAAATTAGGGCAGATATATTTTCCAGACTCTTTACCTACATATGGGCTGCAATTTTAAAAAACTTGTAGATCTATAAATTTCTATTATCGTCTGGCTGTCCTTTCTTAATCTTGAGAGTGGTGTTAGATAGATGAAAGTCGAGACCAGATACAGAGGTTGACCCCAAGGGGAAGGAGACCCCAATTAACTATATAAGAACTTCCGCTTTGGCCGGAAAGTCACAATATTTCAATTCAAAAATTTTCTCCTGAATGGAGTTAGATAAATAGCTGGCATGAGTTCATTGTTAACAGGAAAAGTATGACATACAGGGGTAAAACACTAGTAAACTTAAGTGCACTGTGATGAAAAATTGCAGCCTAGCAGAATGACTGTGTCACAATAAATAATTACTCATTTCTCTTACACTGTCCTATCAACTATTGCTCTGTATTTTAGAACATTAATTTGGACTTTTACAGTAATTTTTTTTCCAGAAACATGAAAAGATTTATCATACTGTCATTTAATATGAAAACATATTAATTGACAGTATGATTTGATTTCATAAAATAATCACAGAAAAGATGGAAAACAGTTGAGAAGAAACAAACATCCAGAAAATATAGGGTGTCTGAAAAGTTATCTTACAGTGAGAATTAGTAATGACATTAAAGTTATGTGTACGGCATTGCATACAAGATCCGTAAGCTGTACGTCCCACATTTCCACTTTGCGATAGATGGTGTCACAGCTCACTCACAGAAGTTCTGGTTTATGTACTACAGATTTTGGAAGAATTCTTTGTCGATTGCATAATCTCCCATGGAATCTGTCTTGCTAGGTCTGTGGATCTTGCATCCCAGATTTTGGGGCCTGTGAGGGCCCCAAAATCTGGCATTTGCTGTAGGGAAACTGCAATATTGTACATTAAACTTTTCTTTTATTAAAATTTTTCTATTAGTATGTTTTCGGACACCCTGTAGTGTCTGAATGCACAATAACTGTAGGATATATAATGACAAAATTACAATATACTGTAGGGAATACAAATAAAAAAGTAGCAGATATACAGATTAAAAACCTGCATAAATAATAAACTCAAATAAAACAATAAAATATGTAAAAGTATGAATTATAATATAAAAACAATATAGCCAGATGGCTGAGTAAGCCAAAACATTAGTCTGCTGCTCTGAGAATCCTATTTCAGGTCTGGATCAATCCAAATATGTTGGGCTGTTCATCATCATTTATCTGCTCCCTTTCTGAGCCTGGTTTAACCTATAATAGAAATGAAAAAAGATCCTCTTAGTGCCTACAAACTTGATTTTAATAACATTTTTATTTAAAAGAAATTTTGATTACAATATTATGTGAGAACCGAGGGTGGGACATCGAGCTTCTCCCCACTTACTGGCGGCTCTTGTCAGATATGGCTATATAGGAGTGCTAAAATAATGTAAGTAGGGAGGTCCGTGAATACGTAGACAGGTTAATGATGAGACAAGTTGAACACAAACAACACATTTATTAATAAAACACACCTTTAATAATCTAGCTAATAAAAATTAATAATATGAAAACGTTTTTGATCGTTTCTTAACGATCTTCTTCAGTTACATTTTTATATTATTAATTTTTATTAGCTGGATTATTAAAAAAAAAACATTTATTAAAATATAAAAAGCTACAGATAATCAATGGTTACAGAAAGGCGTACGGCTGCCTAAAACTGTCCTTTATAGGACCCAAAATCTATTACGCCAATTTAAAAGCTAAAAATCTAATCTTATACTCTATGTGACGTGAATCGAGAGAAGAGAGCCAACCGAATCATTTAACAATACCTCAACAAGTTTTGTATGTGATGTCATCTTAGACAATCGAGTATCTCGGAGGTGTTCATTCAAGTTATCTTGGAATAATAAAGGTGACTACGGTGGGATGACATGTATGACTATGGACTGTATGGGTCTGGTGTTCCCTGATGTCTGCTGTGATGCTATCAGCTGTGATGTCCGCTCCGTTGATCTCCGACTGTAGAGGTCTGCATGGAGATGTCCTCTGAGGGTGTCTACTTGGCAGGGTCCTCTTTGGCTGTCCCCCCGGAGGTGCAAGTTTGACCCCTTTTTATACTTGTCTCGAAGAGGGAATCATGGGGGAAGAAAATATGATGCAATCGCCAGCTCTACTTGCATCCATCTGTGTTTATGTTATTGTCACTCTTTCCCATCATAAATCTGTCTATACTGTCAACTTCTTAAATTAATTGCTGCAGGTGGCCAATATCAGAACAGCTGCGAGGCCACCTGGGTGATGATTACGAGTCATTTTATTACTCTCTCTCATGTAACAGGTGGACATCCTTGTTAATTGGCTATCGATTTGTACATTGTAACGAAGGTGGAATTGAATAATCTCCCGTTTTGAGGGTAGAACTTCCACTGACGTGTAGGACGACTGTGAAAGTTAAAAAGGTCACCTTGTGAAGTGACGCAGTACACTGATGGGTCAAATGGTCTAACTTCAACAAATTTGAAAAAAATAACTTTTTAATATTTAAGTTCTCTAAAAACTCCCAAGAGTCCAGATTCTCACAATTATTTGATCTTTATAGTTTATGACAACATCTTAAAGAGTAATTAAGGGAGTTTAATTACAAAATCAAACAGTCTCAAAGATGATTCAATGTTAAAAGAAGAAATTCTTTTCTACTATAGAAAAGTGTGGTTATATTATTACTTGTTAATTAGGAATCAATAATAAGTTTAACTATTTGATTTAATCCGTTAGAGATTTAAATTCAAATTACTATATGCATGTTGAAAACTATTAAATTATATTTTGAATAATTTTAGGGTCTCCAAGAAATTAACTCCACTAATACACAAGTCAACTATTTTAATGATTATGATTTTTCTCGGCATAATCAAAACGGAAAAGTATTTTCACTTAAAGAAACTTGTAGATCTATAAATTTCTATTATCGTCTGGCTGTCCTTTCTTAATCTTGAGAGTGGTGTTAGATAGATGAAAGTCGAGACCAGATACAGAGGTTGACCCCAAGGGGAAGGAGACCCCAATTAACTATATAAGAACTTCCGCTTTGGCCGGAAAGTCACAATATTTCAATTCAAAAATTTTCTCCTGAATGGAGTTAGATAAATAGCTGGCATGAG